ACTTTTTATTCATTTCTTCAAATTTTATATGATGCTACTAATACATTAAGTGGTATTTATTATCCAACTACCAATTTAGTGTTAGATATTTTACTTCAAATTGCTAAAACTTTTGCTCAATATAGATATAATAACATTTTAAGTGAAATTGTTTTAAATATGGAAGAAAAATATAAGAGATATTGGTTAGATATTCCATTCTTATATGGATTAGGCCTTGTTCTAGATCTTAGGTTTAAATTACATGTAGTTAACTGTATAATTACTGAGATAGACCAGCATTTAGGATATGATTATACGTCTTATTTGACTGACTTTAAACCAAAATTGGATAGCTTTTTTTTCTTTATATGAGAACATGTACAATGGAAGTGGAAGTGGAAGTGGAAGTGGAACGTTCAGGAGAGAGGATCCGGACCTTAATGCAGCCCTCCGTCAAGGATCGAGCAAGTAGACGTATGTGGAACGTGGTGGAATATGAAGGAGCAACATGATATGAATATTCTTCAGTTCCGGAACCAACATGAAAGTCGATTCCCTATTGTAGCCCAAATAGAATTTGACATTTTATCTGTGCCGGTTTCTACAATTGCATTCGAGTCAATATTTTCAACGAGTGGTCAAATTGTTGAAGACAGAAGATGTTCTTTAACCGATGAGATGATTAAAGTAATAACGTGTTTACGGGATTGGACTCATGCAGAAAGAAGACTACAACAACACCCTGAAGATCCCGAACTACTCGAACTCTTTAGGAATACAGATTTGAATGATGTAAATATTGTTGACGATAAAAATGAATAATTTAATTAAAAAAATTATTTAATTGTTTATTTGTGAAGCGTGAATTTATGTTAAAAATTAAAATTAACTATTAATTAATTTATTGTTTTTTAAAATTAATTAAAATTTTAGAAACTTACTAATCTACCCTTGAAAAAACTAAAAACCCCCTACAAAATTTCGTTTCGCCCCCAAAATATAAAAAAAAAATTGGGGGGGGGGGGGGGAATTGTCCAGGCCCATAGGACCAGTCCTTAGGACCGGTCCGGGTCCTCATTTTGCTCATAGGTCCTAGGCCCATGAGCGACTGGTCCCATTTGGGACCAGTCCCAAAGGACTAGTCCCAAACGGGCCTAGGCCCGGGCCTACTTGGGACTGGTCCTTGCGCCACCTCTAGTCGTGATCTCAAGTCTTTTGTTAATAATTTTGTTCTTTGTAATATTTTACAAGTTCAATGATCAGATAAATCATATTTGTCTTATGAAGTGCTTAAATTATAAAAGTGATATCGTAAGTGACCAAGAATTCCTTTTATATATTAAAAAAGTATGTACAAGAAAATGACAAGGAGTTACAAAAAGCTAAAAAGCTAGGAGAACTACAAGGGCAGAAAAAAGGGGAATCATTGGTCTTCATCTCTAGGCCCCCCGATCCTTTGGACGATCGTCCGCCTGATCTTCGAGAATGCTAGGTTGATCATCTTCTGGAGGAGGTTCCTATTCCTTCTGCTGCTCGGCCTCTTCAGCTTAAAGCATGGAAAAAAGGATGGACTGGTATTCTTCTGGAAGGTCGGAGATGTCCATCTCCGGGTTCTACGGTTGTAAGCTCTAAATGGCCTATATTGCCCAATGAGCAGTCATCCTCTCAAGCTCAAGGTTTTGTTACTTCATCTACTCGGTCAATGAAGCAACTCGCCCTTGAGACAGCTCAAGGTCCGCCTCTATTGCCCTCTTTTGCTTCTCAGAGTTCTCCCACAGTTGAGTCTGACTCTCCTCTGTTGCCTTAGCACGATCGGTGCTCACCTTCAGCTCTTTCTCTCTCTCACTCAACTCCTTGGTGAGTCTTGCCATCGTCCGTTGGAACTTCTTGTTGTCCCCGTCCCTCTTTTCAAGCTTGACCTTCTGAAAGTTCGTAACCCGAAGTGCAGAATCTCTTTGCCAAGTACTAATCCGCCTGGATGCGAGTCGCTTTAGCCTCCGCGTCCATGGCCACGAGGTCCTGCTTTAGCTTGACATTCTCCTCCTTCAGCTCGTGGAGATTGCCAGCAGAGTCCATATCGATCTTCTACTGGGCCATGGTCAAGGTGAGTAAGGACTTCATGGGAAAAGAGACAAAAGTCAGTTTCCTTTTCTCAAAACCATAAAGAGCTAAGAAAGTTCTCAAAGGGAACAAGCTGTTTACCTGACTGTGCAACTCGAATGTCGTAACCACCAAGTCGACAAGTCGGGAAGCCACGAATTTCTCAAAGGTTGTGGCAAGCTGGCATTCCAGTAAGGTGTACATTATCGGCTGCAAGTGTTCCGACAGTTGCCCTAAGCAATCCAGCACAGATGGGTCTGGCCCCGAGGGGGCAGGTATATCCTCAACCCGTTGCTTGCCCACTCTCTTGTGAGCAGCCATGGTCGCTCCCGCTCCCTTGTGTGAGCTCCCGGGGGCTGTCGAAGTGCCAAAGAGGCCTATCGAGGGCACTCTCAAGCGAGTGATGGGGTGGGGCTGAGTTCTCTCCGATAGCACCCTGAAGCCTATTGGCTCTGACTCCGTTTCCTCCTCGGCGGTCAACTGTTTCCTTTTCTTGATCTTATGGCCCATGGTTTTTTGCTTCGTGGCACGAACAACCATGGGCCAAGAAACTTCTGCATATCGCTTCGCGGATGGTTGCCTTGCGACGCTAATCCGTACCCCTTATGCGGGGGCGACGTTGGGGGTCGCCTCGACTAGCTCAGTCGGGCTGTCCCGGGGGAATACAAATCCCCCAGCTTTTGTAGGTGGCTTCGGAACCCTTAGTAGCATAGTCGCTGCACGCCATGAAAATGTGTTAGCAAAAACGTCATCTTTGGTGCAAAGTTAAAAGTTCTTATGGATACGAAGATACTTACGAGCTGGAGTTTCTAAAGATGCCTCAGGGCTAAAGAATTTGTACTTTCGCAGGTTAGCAACAGTCACGAGCAGTTTTGCGTCGTGACTTTGATCAGGTAAGCAACCAAATGCCTCGATACGGCTAAAATATGCTAGAGCCGACAATATGGTCGTCTTGTTCTCTATGAAAAAGAAAAGTTCCATTAGTCTTAACTACCAAAAAGAAAGGTATTGTCACCCCGCATTTGAAGATTGACTCTAAGATCGTAGTCATTCCCTCTAAAGGGTCCTGAACAGTATGCGACCTATGCTGGTAGAAGTTTACGTTGATTGCAAACTGGTCTACTACTTTTTGAATCTCATCTGCAGTGGCTGCTGATAGCACCGCCTATGCGGGACCCGTCGAGGTGCTCAGGGGCTGCAAGCTGGTTCCAACAGCTACTTTCATCTCCGAAGCGTCCATTACTCCTAAAGTCTGAAAAGGTGTGACACGAAGAGGTGACCCAGTCTCTGTACACAGTGTTTCATATAACGACTCGAAAGAGTAAGAAAACCCCTAATTTTCCTTCCTTAGCCCTTAAAAACCCTAAACATCCTTGAGAATGAGTTCCTAAGGATTTGTGCCTCAGGTTTTTTATTTTTAAGAGTGTTCTTTTTTTAACACCACCAAAGGATGTGCATCATTAAAAATTTACCAATCGTTCAAACCCACTATTGTTATGAAAAAATCGAGTTTTGAACAGGAAAGAAAAGAGGAAAGAGAAGAGTATTCCTTACCTCTTGGTTGCTAAGGATGAACGTTTTATCGTAGCAGCGAGTGCACATCAACTGGAAGAAGGATGAACTGGTTTTTTTCGTGCAAAAAACTCTGTTTTTTTCTCTCTGAAGATTTAAGTTATGTGAAAATCATGATGTCGATGCTTGATTTCCTTTGCAAGTGACGTTTAGGCGGGATGCATTCCTAGCCGTTAGATGCGACCACGTGTTATTAATCCTCGTGAAGAGTAACCTTCACGCTTCATGAAGATCAATCGACGTTTCCTTTCGTTAGAGAAACCAAACGTCCGCGTGGTTATCTTCACCGCATTGAATGTGCCCTCATCCGCATTAATGCTTTAAAAGAGAATGTCGTTTCAACATGGCTTGCATTTAATGCTCATGGTTGACACTTATTGCGCAAAGACATGTCTGTCAGATAAATCTTACTTTATTGAACAGGCCAACTGTCAAACGCAACGATAATATCTGAAGAAGTCGTTTGAATAAAACACTATTCTCCATGTACTTAGCTCGAAATCAAAGTGATTTTTTATTTTCAGTGAGAATTTTCCAAGTGTTTTCAGGTCGAGAGCGATGAGCAAAGTTCAAAGCATGTTGGTATAACACTATGCAGAATCTGACCCCAGGTCATTGAACCTTTAGGGGATGATCATCTCAGGTCGCTTGTAAAGTTCACCAAGCCTACGTCGCGACCTCCACTCAGTTCGTTGGTCGAGTAAAATCGTGAACTTCGTGTTATTTCAGCTGTCCTCTACTTGTAGCTCCAGCAAGCGATCTTCAAGGTGAGCCAAATCATAGCATAGTCATGAAGTTTTCAAAGTTCAAGTCTTGAACCTTAAGAACTGGGGGGGGCTGCTCTTCTATTACGCCTAAAAAATCAAGGTTGACGCAAGCTTACGTTAGCAATGACCAATCAAAATTCAAGAAGGCATTATGTCATCCAGGCGTTACCACATCACCCAAGGACAGAATGAGTAAGGTTGTCATCAACTTGACAGGTAAAAGCCTGGCGAGTGAGTGGCTAAGAGTCACCCACTTGCCCAAGCCCTACGCGATTTAAGGATATCTTCGGTGCAACCGACCAATGGAAAGCAGTGTAAGAACCGCACCGCACCTGCCCACTGACAGACCCATAATCATTACTTAAAAACCTCTTACTATAAATAGAGGGCTCCTCTCTATTTTTCGGGATTCTAGTCTTGATAACAAAAACACTCTCTCTCCCCCTCTGTACTTCTGTTCTCTTGGATCGCTGCATGCGACCTAATTATACTCTTTCATAAATAAAAAGACAGTGGACATAGGATTCACTTTGACCATCCGAACCACTTTAAAAATCGTCTCCCTTTTATTTGTTTTATTTTCCAATTCACGTGTAATTTCTAAGTTTGCTTAGCACTTTACACATACGAATAGTTGGTGTCAAAATTCAGCATCAACGAAAAAGGTTCATTTCATTTTGTATATTAGGTCTATGCAATATATGCCATAAGAACAATTTTTTATTCATTCTATCATATCTCTGCCTAAAGGTTCTCCTCTGCTTCAAAGTCCAATCCTGATATGCGCATCCTTCCAATATTAACTGCACAGTTCAAAACTTTGGTCAGGCATTGAACAACCAATTGACACTGCATATATTGACAGAGCAAAGAAAATAAAAAAAAGTGGCAGCGATTATTCTAGTGAAGCTTCATGGTCACTAACAGTTTAGGATTAGACTCTATTGATGCTACTGTTGTTTGCTAAACATGAAGAACAAAGATAAAGGGAAATGACAGAAGGAACTCAATCTTTTTGGGAGAAATTGTGTTTGTGAAAATGGGTATTCAAAAAATGCAAATTCAAATCTAGCCCATATTATAGATTGAGCTACACAGCCTTTTTGATATGCATAAAGATCATATTCTTGTAGCATTGGAGATAAAACTTCAACTATTGCTGACGTAATCCCAGCAATGGAAGTTATTAGTTCTATGATCCCACTCCCAAATGGGTCAGCAGGAAAATAACAGGAAAATATTGCCAAGACAAAAACACATTGAGATAAACATGTCAATTAACCAAGCTCAACAAATTGAGTTGATAATCACATTTGCACTCTGGAGACCCATTAGGCAGGAAGAAGTCCGAACAGGTGCTTAGTCAACAAAAATTTATCATCCGGGTTATAAAAGGGGAAAAAGCAAAGACCGAGTACATACCAACAGCATCCATCCCAGCTAGTTTGGGCATGAACTGCTTAATATGATCTTCAGCTGCTTTATCGGCTTTCAGTGTCTCACATTCAAACGAAACTTGAATCTTATTCTTCCCATGCTTTTGTTCAACCATTCCTACAACATCCTTCTCCCAACTGTGTACAAATGAATCATTAGAAAAGAAAAACCATTTAATGGACATAGTGCATGTAACTATATACCATTAACATACCTATAAAAATTAAGACAAGCAGATGATACTTCAAAAATAAAAAAAAGATATAAATTAATTTTCATCATATTCTGCTTGTCAGTTCAATCAATGTAATTTAAGAAGGTATAAATGCTACTTCTCCCAAGATTTGTCTAATTTCATCATCCTCCATTATGGCAAACTCATTCCAAGATGGCTTACCCATGAGCATGATCAATGTTGTGGAACCGAGCAGCATCATGGCCTCTACACTCGACTACAACAGCTTGTTCTTTCTTTCTCTGTTACATACTAAAACTCATTAGAGAAAGAGAATTTTTATGGTGGAAAGAATGAATTAATACTCAAAGAAGCTCAAAAAATAATAGTACAATTAAATTTGAATTTAAGAAATGAGAAGGCAGATAAAAGAAAAGAAGTACAGCTTGTACATTGTAGTCAATGACTGTGAGCTTGATCAACCGATAATCCTCCCCTCTGCTGCATTCCCTTTCGCAAGATAACTCTAAAAACATGAAAGAGAATGACAGAAACATTAAAAACGAAATACAAAGTTATATTTTAGGAAAGCTTCCTACAAAAACTTGACTGAAACAAAATGAAAAGGCAGTGTACAGGCAGAAATTCAACATTCCATAAATTTCTGATAGTGTTAAAAAACCAGATGCATTGCTTCATCAATAATGCCCTTGCAAATGTATGAAGACTCTGCAATGTTTTTCCTAACCCAATTGAAAAATCTGACGGTACAGCTAACCCACATTCTCAAAAACCTCGACATCACTAAAGATGGATCAAGCAGCCAATCAGTCCGTTAGACGAAACTGCCACGATGAATCCAACTGCAACCTTTTGGGTACCATTACCAAGCCAGTTATAACGCCAACATGGTAACAGTTACGAATCATGCCACGTATATTATTAAAATGATATTTGTATAACGTTAAACATTACCAAAACGAAGTTGTGGGTTATCAAAACACATATATTCCAGTAACGTTACAGTATTACACTCCCGGGAACATAGCAATTCCCTCCAAATAAACAATGTTACAACTGAACAACAAACTAAACCTTTCAGGCCAATTATTAAAATTCAAAGAAAGAACCAAGAAAAAGTCAAAAAAAAATAAATACCAGTGCCGTGAAGGCCATAGCAGATAGAGTGAGGAACATGAATGAAGTGCCCAGAGATGGACCCACATGGCAATAATGCTATTGATGCTACTCCTTCCTTCACCTCTTCCACTCTCTCTCTTTCTTCAACTTCTGTTCTTTCATCTGCCACCGTTTTCATATGAAAAGGATTACAAAACATTCTCAGTATTCATTGACTAAAAATAAAAATTAAATTAAATTAAAAAAAAAAAACTTTACCCATTACTTCGAAAGCGACTCCGTCTCTTGTGAGCAGAATGGTTCTCACCGTTTTGGCAGGGAAAGACAGCAACAAACACAGCGTTTTTGTAAGAGGTGTCACTGTTAAGGGGAGGGTTGGTTGGGGGTAATAGTTACTGTTGGTAGTCCCGATTACCTCCGCTTAGTTATGGTAAGATTAACAAAGTAATATATTTTTTTTTTTTTTGGGTTACAATTCTATCTTTTAATAATAAAATTTTAAGGCAATGATATCCTTATTTTTAAATTTATTTAAATGAATGTTGCTTTTACTATTTCACTTTAATTAATTAAATTTTTAGCAAAATTACCCTTAAATTCAAAACAAATTACAACCCACCCAAGCCACCACCCCAACTCACCTGTCGTCGCCTACTGCGAGCAATCACCGCCACGGCCAGAAAGGCACACAAAAGGTCGAGAATAGCCACGGTGCACCCATATGGCCATTTCCGGCAAGATATCTGACCGAAAATAGCCAGATCGTGATAAATCTGGCCGTTGATAGCCAAATCTAATCTAACTGTCAATGGCAAGATCTGTCGATCTAGCTGTCAACGGCCAAATCCGTCAACCTAGCCCTCAATTGTTAGATCTGTCACAATCTGACATTTGACGACCAGATTGATAGCCGTTGACGGCTACAGACGTGACCGTTAACGACCATCAACGGTTGGATCGATGGATCTAGTCGTTGACAGCCAGATCTCTGGCCGAAAATGGTCATACGACGCACCAAGGTCATTTCCTACCTTCCGTGCTCCATTAGGTTGTCGACTACCGATAGTTGCCAGCAGTCAGCAATGGTTAGGTTGTGGGGGTGCTTTGTTGATTTTTCAAAGTTTTATTAAAGGGTTGTTTTTTCTAAGTTTTTAAATAACAGGGTTACAATAATCTAAATAATAATCAATATTAAAAAATAATATAATAATAATATTTAATTAGAGGACAATTCAATAATTTAAATAATATATCCACTAATTTATTCCTCCCAATTAAATATATTAATAAAGCATACCCATTAATTTATTCCAACTAAACAAACATGTTTTCCTAAAGATTTCCAGTAATCTTCAAGGTAATCTAATTTTTCAGTAATCCAACATTCATAATATTCCAATATTCCCTAACCAAACACACCTAAAGGGTATCATTGTCCATAGATGTTTAATTGGACTATTATTTTCAGGACCAAGACGACGCCGCTTTTGCTGAAATGTGACTCTATTTATCAAAACTCAAAAGCACTCTGTTTTGTCACTCTCTATAATCTATATAGCAGAGCAACTATCTTGGTTTCAGGTAACGTAGCCTCATCTAAAAGGGTTTTCTTTCTCAAATATTAGAAGGGTTTTATATGTTATATTGGCTGAATCCATATGGAGTTTTATGAGTCTCAAAGTTCACTGTGATATTTCATGAATTCAAGAACTTTTTTTTACTGGAAGTACTTTTTTTTTTCGGTTAAGTAACGAGGAAGTAGCTTTATGGTACAATGGGTTCAATTGTTTTCTCCAGTCGGGTTAAATGCTCCCAAAGTTGGCTCTTTTTTTATCTACGTTGAATGGGAGTTGAATGAATATATCTTTAAGTCATTTGCTTATTGTTCTTTCTGAGTTTTTTAGCTATGAGTGAAGTATTAATGAATTCAGGTTCTTTTATGATGATTTCAAACGGGTTTGCTTGCTTGGGTAGCTTTAATGGTAGGCCTAGTTCTTTTGATTATAGAATTTGTAGCAGAAATTATGGCTTTTACATATTTCAATCTTCAGCTGTAAAGTCAAAAAAGGGGCATGTTTTGTTTGGTTGTACGCAAGTTAAGAGTCCACGAACCAGTTCGATTATTGTATCAAACATGGTTGAAAGTATGGAACCTGAGTTGGACTGTAAGAATGAGGAAGATGACCAATTGATTGAAAAAAGAAAGGAAAATTTTGATTTGGTTTCTTTCGGACAGAATTTGCCTCCTTGGGGAAATGTTGAGGTTCAGCAAGGTTCAGATTTGGAATGTAAAAGTTGTGGACAAACAGTCCCACGAAAAGTGGTCATCGAACGCAAAATTAGATCGTATATGTTGGAGGAAAGAAATGAAGAGGTGCTATCAAGAAGGGTTTTGATGCTTAGTAGGTCCAACAAGGTGAGAAGTGCCCTGGAGCTGTATGAGTCCATGAAATTCTCAGGTTTATGGCCCAATGTACATGCCTGTAATTCTCTTCTTTCATGCCTCCTGAGGAATGGACTGCTTGACAATGCCTTGAGAGTCTTTGAATTCATGAGAATGAATGAGATTACTACAGGTCATAGTTATAGCTTAATACTTAAAGCAATTGCTGATGCACTGGGTTCTGATTTTGCCCTTAACATGTTTGTAGAATTTGGAGGATATTCTAGACAGAGGAAGGATTTTGATGTAATTGTTTATAATACGATGATATCAATATGTGGTAGAGTGAATAATTGGATTGAGACAGAGAAGTTATGGAGGAGCATGAAGGAAAATGATCTTATTGGAACACGAATTACTTATTCTCTATTAGTTTGCATTTTTGTTCGTTGTAGTCAGAATGAGCTGGCTCTTGATGCTTACAATGAGATGATCCAAAGTGGATTCACACCAGGGGATGATGTAATGCAGGCTGTAATTGGCTCATGCACAAAGGAGGGGAAGTGGGATTTGGCGTTAAATCAATTTCGAGATATGTTGAATGGCGGACTGAAGCCAAATCTAATTACTTGCAATGCACTGATAAACTCACTTGCAAAAGCTGGAGAGGTAAAGCTGGCATTTAAGGTCCACGGTATGATGAAACTCTTGGGTCATTCACCTGATGTGTATACATGGAATGCACTGCTTAGTGCTTTGTACAAGGCAAATCAACATGCTGATGCTCTTCAGCTTTTTGAGAGCATGAAAAGAGAACAGAGCTGTGAATTGAATGAACATTTATATAATACTGCTTTAATGTCATGCCAGAAGTCGAGTTTATGGGAAAAGGCTCTACAACTTTTATGGCAGATGGAGGCTTCTGGACAATCAGTTTCTACTTCATCCTATAATCTTGTAATTGGAGCTTGTGAGAGTGCAAGGAAACCAAAGGTAGCATTGCAAGTTTACGAGCACATGATTCACCAAAAGTGCACTCCAGACATATTTACATACTTGTCGTTGATAAGAAGTTGTGTTTGGGGATCTCTTTGGACTGAAGTGGAGCAAATTCTAGCTGTAAGTTTACCTTTGGATAGTTTTTCCATTGCTGTATTAAAGCTTTGGTCTGTGGCTTAGCTCATACATAATGAAATTTGACTAAGCAATTTTCTAATTTGATCTGTAGCAGGTTAACCCAGATGCCTCTCTCTACAATGCTGTTATTCAGGGTATGTGCTTGCGTCGCAAGTTTGACTCAGCAAAGAAGATGTACACGAGAATGCGCGAGAGTGGCCTTAAACCTGATGGTAAAACACGAGCATTGATGCTTCAAAACTTATGGAAACACCAAACTTAGCACAAGTAATCCATACCAATGGTTCTCGTTTCTGTGCTAACATCAGCAGAAGAGCAACCCAGGGAAAGAGACCTTACAGAAAATGCATGTGTATGCTGAAGTGCACGGACGGTGGAATTACAGAGTTCAACTGATCCAAAGTCAACACGGTTGTTTACCATATTTCTGTAAATTAACATGTTTATGTATGCTTCTGTACTGTAAATAAACACGATATAGATTTCCTATTTCAAATGTTAATGTCTTCTCTCATTTCCTTAATATAAGAATTTGACAAAAGGGATACAACTTCTTTCCTTGAGAGACTAGCATTAAAATGTTAGAAGAATATTTAACTGAAATATGAGACCGTTTTCAGAAACAGCAGATTATAGGCTCCAACGCAAGCTTTGGATTTTGGGTGCCAAAATCATCTGTTCATGCTTCTGTTAAGCGTGAATAAGATTAGAGGAATCTGATTCTTCAAATATTGACATACTGTATCACATGCAAGAACCATAATTCTCCAAAGACTGCACCAATAAGATTCATTGAGAAAAGTGTATTTTTATTCATTATTGCTCCATCAATACAATGCCCCTAATAGTAAGTGTTGCCAACCAGTTTTGTCATCACTTTGTTTAATAAACACATTATGCTAATCATAAAACTATACTATGGTGTAGGAATCTGATGAAAGCATTGAAAAAGAAACACCTCCAGGTTTGTAATTTCTATTAGAAATGATGACAAGTTCATCAAGTAAAGAAAATTCACTGAAGCAAACTTTTTGACCTGTGGTTGGATAAAACTAGTTACATTTATACAGACAATTAGACACTCCGTGAAACAGCTTCTTGGTTTTCAGGTTCAGCAGCTGAAGCATCAGAATTGGCATCAACTCTCCTGAAGACTAGCTTTTGCTGGGGAAGCTGGCCATTGGAGAATGCTGTAACTTCTGTGTCAATCAATACTGTGTCTTCATCCTTGAAATCTCCTCTCAAGATACCCTTTGCAAGTTCATTTTCAACATTCTGCTGAATTACTCGCTTGACCGGCCTTGCACCATAGTTAGGGTCATATCCAAGACTTCCAAGGAGTTCAACAGCTGCATCAGTCACCTTGATTTTCATCTTCCGATCTGCAATCCTTTTCTGCACGCGTTCCAACTGAGACAAGCAAACATAATATAAGGTGTTTTAAAACAAAGAAACTGATGCTACTACTTTCGTTAACAATGTTATAAGCAATTGCTCTATGATCTCATCTCTCTTCACACAGGAGGATCTAGGGGAGATAGGCTTCAGTGAGCCGTTGTAAAACATCCATTCTATCATAAGTTGTCAACGTGTTTTCACACAAAGAATGGCCTTGATTTGGGGGGTATTTGTGGGGCATTGCAGTTAAATTTACTTTTCATTTGATGAGTCACAATGCACCTACCATAAAAGTTAATGAAATTTATCCTGCATTTCCTTCATAATTAAAATGCCTAAAGAAAAAGACTAGACCATGAGTCAATCTGCAGAAACTTACCTGTAACTTCACAATAGTATTTATCTGTTCGCGGTCCAGAGGCTGGAAGACTATATACTCATCTACACGGTTCATAAACTCAGGGCGGAATACAGATCTTGCAGCATCCATTACCCGCTGTTTGATAGTTTCATAAGCTGTCTCCTTTGGTAAGGTTTCATCATCTGTATTGAGAATGTACTGCGAACCCACATTTGAAGTCATAATGATAACAGTATTGGTGAAACTCACAGTGCGGCCCTGTGAATCAGTCACTCTCCCATCATCTAGAATTTGAAGGAACACATTAAATACATCAGAATGGGCCTTCTCTATCTCATCGAACAGAATTACTGCATATGGCCTACGCCGTACAGTCTCTGTCAACTGTCCTCCTTCCTCATATCCAACATACCCAGGTGGAGCTCCAATCAACCTTGAAACTGCATGCTTCTCCATATACTCACTCATGTCAATTCTTACGAGTGCCTCTTCTGTGTTGAACAGGTAGGAAGCAAGTGTCTTGGCCAGTTCAGTCTTTCCAACACCAGTAGGACCCATGAACATGAAACTAGCTATTGGACGGTGAGGATCAGAGAGGCCTGCTCGAGATCGCTGAATAGCATCAGCTACTGCTGTCACAGCAGGATCTTGACCCACAACACGTTGGTGCAGCACTTCTTCCAAATGTAAAAGCTTCTCCCTCTCTGATTGTTGAAGCTTAGAAACGGGAATACCCGTCCATTTACTGACAATTTCAGCAATGTCATTTCCTGTAACTTCTTCTCTCAACATGGATTTTCCAGAACTCAGGTACTCATTTAACTCTTTTTCAGCACCCGCAAGTTGGCGCTGCAGAGAGTTCAGGCTTCCGTACTTCAATTCAGCAGCACGATTAAGATCATACTCCCTCTCAGCTTGCTGAATCTCAAGGTTTACCCTGTCAATCTGCGCATTACAAAATAGTCAGTTAATTTCCAAATTAAAATTCATGAGCATCTAGTTACTCTCGACTAATTTTCCACTGACATCTAACTAATCTAATCAAGTTAATTTGAAGGCCAGAAAAATAACTTCCCCATTAGATTTCTTTTTAAATGATGTTACTATCTACTGACAGAAAACTAAGCTGATGACATGAAGATGCAATTTCAGGAAAAACAGACCTCTTCTTTAATGGACTGAATGCGAGTCATGACAGACTTTTCATGCTCCCACTGCTCTGTTAACTGAGCTTGTTTCTCCTTTAAGAGTGACAATTCAGCCTCAAGGCGGCTCAATCTATCTTTCGAAGCTTTATCAGTGTCATTGGCAAGAGATAGCCTCTCCATCTCCAGTTTCAATACTGAACGATTGATCTCATCAAGGGCAGTGGGTTTCGAAGTAATTTCCATTTTCAGTTTTGCAGCTGCTTCATCCACAAGATCAATAGCTGCAATTTGAAAGCATATTAGTATCTGATGCAACTTATAGATGCTAAGATATTTATCCCACAAAATTATATCATATAAGAAAAAGAATGCAGCAGGAAATGACATCAATCCTAAACTAACAACAGTGCAGAGAATTGCTAAGTACTTCAGCACTCAATATAGCTGCTACATATTACTAGATTTTTTGTTGCTCCAAAAGGCACCAGATAAATAAACGACTCATCATGAGTGATGCATATTACAACGAAGTAAAACACTTTCATGTGACCATTGTGACAATTACCTTTGTCAGGTAAAAATCGCCCACTGATATAACGATCAGAGAGAATTGCAGCTTCCACAAGTGCACCGTCAGAAATGCGGACTCCATGATGCAGCTCATATCTTTCACGCAGCCCACGAAGAATAGATATTGTATCTTCCACAGTAGGTTGGTCAACATAAACTTGCTGGAAACGACGCTCCAATGCTGGATCCTTCTCTATATATTTTCGATATTCATCAAGTGTTGTTGCACCAATACATCGCAACTCTCCCCGACCAAGCATAGGCTTCAAGAGATTGCCCGCATCCATGGCACCATTTGTGGCACCTGAAAAAATCCCAATAGGTAATCTATTAGCATCTGAAGCATTTTCAAATCTCATTTCCACAAACTGGGAACTCAATAGTACTAGGCTGGGTGCCTTCAGTATCTTTAAAAAAAAAAAGTTTAAAAGATCTAAAGAAGTTCCATCAGTCAAGAAGATTTTGATATAAACGGAATTAAATGGCTGTTTTCATTTACCTCAGGAACTATTGGATAAGGGAAAGAACCAGAAAGAGATATAAAAAAAATTAAAAAAAAAAAAGCTAACTCACTGAGAAAAGGTAATGACAACAAGAGTTTAATTAACTTATAAAAACTTCAGTCATCTGAAAATAGAGATATAACAGCATATTACCTGCCCCCACAACTGTGTGGATCTCATCAATGAATAGGATAGTCTGGCCCTCTGACTCTGTTACTTCCTTCAGAACAGCCTTCAGCCTGTCTTCAAATTCTCCCCGATATTTTGCCCCAGCAATAAGTGCACCCATGTCAAGAGATATTAGCTGGAAAATGCAGTTGTGTCAGGAGATACTAACCAAAGTAAAGGATAATAGACCTTTGAAACTATAACAAATATGCCAACACATCTCTCCCCTCCATACTCCACCAACATAAAAGAAAAGAAAAGATAAATGCACAAACTTCTACATGGAGCACATACCTTACGATCCATTAAAGCTTGTGGCACATCACCGTGTACAATTCTCTGAGCAAGCCTGTTTACAAGGAATAATAATATTAGCACATAATAAATTAATGTGCACAAACACACAGGGTGAGTTCTCCCAGAAAGCCTTCAAACCAAACCAAAGTAATTCAAACTATGCCTCACAAACTATCAGCAATAATGGAACCTCAAACTAAGCTCATTTAACAGATTACCCCGCAGATATAGTGTTAATTACATATGGATGTGGGCTCAGACTCTCAACTTATGTTCTCACTACTGAAACATATATAACATGTCTCACACAACTCTCAAGCCAAATGCACAAGACTGCAGACCACTATATGAGCCCAGCAACCTGATTTATGGCCATGCTATTTGCCCACCATTTATGTAATATACAAGAAAAGACCTAAAGGCTTACCCTTCAGAAATTGCAGTTTTTCCAACACCTGGTTCACCAATTAGCACGGGGTTGTTCTTTGTTCTCCTTGAAAGAATCTGGATACACCTTCGTATTTCATCGTCTCTTCCTATTACCGGGTCAAGCTTTCCGGCTCTTGCCATAGCTGTTAAATCTTTTCCATATTTCTCTAATGCTTCATACTTTCCCTCAGGATCTGTACCAATTACATGATGTCAGACCTTCAGACAAATATAAGAACCCTGAAAGTTCAACAGGTGAAACTAAATGATGACTCAAACACTAAACTAAACTACTACACGGGCATACATGCATAAGAAAAGACATGTTCTCCTGCTCACAACATCAGCATGCATCCTGCAATGTAACTTACTATGCCCCTAAACTGAAAATAAATAATCAAGAAGGGAAGGGGGAAAAGGTTCCATTCTTTATCAGGAAAAAAATGGCGGTGTTGAGGGGAAGAGATAAATTACAATTCCAACTCAGATGACAGTGCCAAGTTGTTAGCTAGATTAAAAAGTCAAACAATAAACGGTGGCTTCCAACAAAGATACAATACCTTGCCATCACAAGTATGACAATTGGTATCAAGCCCAAGAGTAGTGAACCTCGGTATACTTGCTGAAGATAA